CTCTAGTCTTACGCTGTTAAATTAGGGACGGCTAGCGCAGATAGCCCTCGTGTAACTTTGTGCGAAATTCAAAAAACAAACAAATGTCTGTGCCTGAACCTTAGGGGTCTCTTATCTGGCTACCTAACCCATATTATTTTACAAATTAAAACAACAACAACAAAAACAGATAAGTTAAGTTACTTCGATGATAACCATATAGCGTTTATAAATATATTGTAAATAATTTATTTTAAACATACATTTTCATCATTTATATATATATCCAAAAACCAATAATTGAGACTTATTGCTATAATATAATATTTAAAAAAATACCTAAATTGTTTTAAAATTAATGATATCATTTTCTCTGAAATTATATTTTGTAGCCTTAAGCTTGTCTACAGTTTAAATAATCACAATAATTAACAACAAAGTAGTTTTAACTATGTTAATACGTATACAGATGTGAACATTAGGTATACTTATTACTATATTGTTAGGTTCAACAATTATTTGGCTGGCTGTTTTTCGTACTGATAATTGTTGGCGTATTATATGGAACTTTGTCGTGGACTAAAGGTGAAGAAACAGGACGTGTTGCTGTGGTTCTCTATGCTGTATCCTACTCGACTTTGTGGGCTATAGCTATAGCTTGGTTGATAGTGGCTTGTTTGTACGGATATGGAGGTTTGTATCATCACATTCATTTTTGTACTCTCTCAAGCTTTGAATCGTGAAATGTTGTTTTATTCGAACGTTTACGATAACCATTAAATTATAAAATAAGTTACGTGTACATACTTTAGTGTAAAAACATATGATTCTGTAACTGCATAAGTTTGGGTTATATATTTTTAAATATTATTCATATGTAAATACGAAATGTTTGACGAAAAGGGGTTGAGACGATCTGTGTTTTCTAACATAAAGAAAAGTCTATAGGTTCTCATGACAACTTATAAGGTTTTTCAACAATAAACATGCCCAAAATAGTATATATCTTCCAAGGTAATTTACTATTAGCAATACCTTTCTCTCGATATGTTTATAACATAATGTTTTAGTATAATATGGGGCCTGTTGGTCCATCTCGGCTGTCCCGTCCTCTATATATCTTCCAAGGTAATTTACTATTAGCAATACCTTTCTCTCGATATGTTCATAACATAATGTTTTAGTATAATATGGGACCTGTTGGTCCATCTCGGCTGTCCCGTCCTCTATATATCTTCCAAGGTAATTTACTATTAGCAATACTTTCTCTCGATATGTTTATAACATAATGTTTTAGTATAATATGGGACCTGTTGGTCCATCTCGGCTGTCCCGTCCTCTATATATCTTCCAAGGT